AGGAATTCCTTTTAAAGTTATAATAATTATAACTGTTGGATTTTCATCCAACGGCTCACATCCCTTGGTCATGAGGATCCTCATCCTTAGATTAGGAGAGGATCCTGATCCGTTTTAAAAGTAACCCAAGAAGCGCGGCTCACTGGATCAGAACCTAAGGGGCGAGACAGTCAATGGATGGTAAAAGTCATGAGATATATATATGCCCATTTTTATTCTATCGTGTGCCGTGCCACACTAGATTAGCTCGTATCAATGGAATTGAAGCGCAAGCCCTGCTTTCCCTCTTTTTCACACGACTTTGCTATCACAACGGGCCTTATTTTCCACCCAAATCTTATCCCCCCAGGGCGGGTACAAGACCCATATATCCACCTTTAATCCCAAAAACTTGTTCCACCTTGAAAAAGAAATGGACCTAAATTGTAGGAACTTTTTTTGCCCTTGGGTTAGAGACAGTCTCAACGTTCTCCCCACTCTTTTGGTTTCATTTTTTGAATGCAAACAAAACGTCAAGTCCAATGGCAATTTGATAATTACGCAGCACTCTTATATTTTACGATTACGCTTGGATTGTCAACCAAGTAAAAAGAGAGTATGCCACCCATAATCTAACTACGATGCTACACTTGGCCAAAGCCAAAGCATTACTCGAAGGATTTGAAAAGTATGAGATTCAACAACTTCCTGGGAGTGAGAAGAGTTATGTCGACGCACTTGCAAACATTGGATCTCTTGTTAACTACTCGCTCCGACAAACAATTCCCTTCAAGTATCTCGCCACTTCGAGCATCCATGAACTGAATGTGGAGTTAGTTGCTACTATTGATACACAAGAAAATTGGATGCACGAAATCATCAACTATATCCAAGTTGGCAAGATTCCCAACAATGCCACTTGGCTAGAAAATTGGTCCAAAAGGCTTCAAGATACATCATTGTGTGTGGAAAGCTCTACGGTCGATCTTATTCAGGACCCCACATTTTTTGTGTCACCCTAAAGCAAAGCCTATAAATTCTAAGTCGCATTCCTTCCGAAGTATGCATTAATCATTTTGGAGGATGATTTCTTGCGCAAAAGGCATTGACAGTAGGATGCCTTAGATTGCGCACAAACTTTTGACAAATGTCAAAGATACGCACCAATGAACCATCAACACGAGGAAAAGCTCAACACCCTAATTGAGGCATGACCCTTCATGCAATGGTTATAGACCTTGTTGGGCTGCTCAAAAATGCCAAAAGCAACTAGAAGTATCTAATAGAAGCAACATATTATTTCTCCAAGTGGATCGAAGCTAAGTTCTTATCCTGGATAGTCGGAGCAGTGATCAAGTCCTTCATTTTGAAAAACATCATATGCTAGTTGGCATTCTCACACCATTTTGACGAATAGTGGTTTGTACTTCACAAGCTCCAAAGTTATAGATTGGTACAAGAAACTTGGAATTCGACATCTCACTTCTACTCCATGATATCCCAAGGCAACGGATAAGCAGAAGCATCAAACAAGATTATTCTTCAATGTTTAAGAAGAAACTTAAGCAAAGGAAGGGTAAATGGCCAAAATAATTTCCTGTGGTACTTGGGTAAATTGTACTACGGTCGAAAAGAAACCAGAAAAACTTCATTTTCATGGTTTAGGAACTCAAGCCATTATCGGTCAAGGTCACCACAGTGACCAACTTGTATACCGAAGAGCGAACTGGGTTGGAGAACACTACGATGCTCAAGTCTAAATTAGACTTCACGGATAAGTAAAAAGGGTGCCAATGCTATTAATCAGGTTGGATAGACCTGAAGTCATTGCTAGAAATGTGATTTAGGCATAAAGTTAGTGTGCGTAGTATCGCATTCATCCAAACAACTAACTTTTCCACATTCGTACCAAATCACGTGTTTAATTGAATTCGATCACATGTATACAAGAAACATGATTTAATTAACTCATATTTGAGGACAATATTAATAAGATTTTCCATAACAAAAACAAACACCAAACATGAATCCAAGAACATAGAAAAATGTTCACAAAGTAAATGGTTACTAAGAGGATTCAGCCAACAAGGCCATCCATGTCAAAATTCTGATCTTTCAACGATGTTTGGTGGAGCAAAATTAGTCTCATAGATTGACTACTAGAATGGTACTCCTCAACGACATTAGTAGGGGCACAAACAGGTGCATAACCAATGATCTATTCCATTAAGATGGAAGTACATTCTGCAAGGTTGAGGTTCAGTAATACTCTTCCTTATTCTTGAAGTTTTAGGTCTTAGGTGCCAAGGATCACGCTTTGGGCATGATGCCACACCATGGCAGGCCCTGATTCTACCATATGCTGTAAAAACAAACTCAAAATTGGATTGTGAGAAAGACAGACCCCAAATTAGGTTAGGTAGGCTCCAGTCGAAGTTGGAAGGGTTTGTTCAGTAGGTCTCTGCTGAAGCAGAGTACCATTCGGTGACCTCTACCGAAGCAGAGCATGCCCTTTGGTGCAGCCCTGTCGAAGCAGGACACCATCATGTGGTAAGCTTTGACCAAACTGGGTTGAGCCATTCGGTAAACTCCAGCTGAACTAAGTCTATACTTTTTGGTAAACTCCAGCCAAACCTAGGTCTATACATTTCTCTCACATTTGTGGTAGTAATAGGATAAAATTCAGTAAACTTTCACTTTCTACACTGTTACTTCAGGAGCGAGTTAGAAACAAGGAATGACGAGACAAGTATTCCCCAGTCAAAATTCGTTCAGATTTATAAACTTCAGAATTGTACTCATTCATGGACGTAATCATAGTATGCTTCAGGCAATATCTTTCATGATTAAACAGTTCATAGAAGCAAGCCAAAAGGCCATGGAATCCTCTTCCGGGAGGCACTTTCGTGGGTAATGCTTCGAGCATAAGTCTTCGAATGAAGATCATAGCGAAGGCATATTTAGCTCTTCCATGCCATTGTTGGCTACAATGGTTTCTCAGCTTCTGGATAATTAAGTGGAGATTCACGTCTTGTACCCCACATAAAGTGGTTTATGATAGAAACATCCAAATAAGGGAAATCGAACTTGTGGTGGTTTGACAATCCATTGAATTGGAGGGAACAAGATTGTGATTGGTGTTATGGGAATGAATCATCCATAAGCATCAAAGTTAGAACATTCGAGTTCTAAGACATGGTTTTCATGAAAAATGTGTGTATTTGTTTTATGAAAACTTTGGGTTTCAAAGGCACTAAATTTGAAACTACAGGTTCAATTTAGTTTATGAATGTTTAGTTCATAAAAGAAAGGTTCCTGCAACAAACATATAATGCAATATGTTGATTGAAGTGTAATGGATTTGAGTTTCTTTGGGAACTCAAATGTGAGAGCTTCGGGACTACGAAAGGATGTCAATGGTTGAAAGTAAACAAATAAATTATTGAATCGATAATGTCCAAAACTGATATTCAAGTAAATAATTTTTGATTAATTACTGCAAGTCACTTTTAATTAATTCAATAGATCGGGATCAAACGGGGTCGATCGTGGAAGAAAAAATAATAATAACATTCGGGTTTAAATTATTTAAAATGCCAAAAATTAGCATTGGATTCGAAAAACCATAGCCTAATAGCATTTGGGCTTGGGTGTCGTGAGTAGGGCAAAGCGCTAGAGGCTTTTAGGCCTCGGGTTTGGCTGCTAAGCAGCCCACATGTGGTTGCAGGCCACAGGCTGAGGGATTGGGTAGCCCAACCGCAAGCTGCTGGTGTTTTTGGGCCAAATGATGCAAGGGAGCAAGCCTAATCAAAGATGGCTTGTGGGTCAGCACACGTGAGGCCCAACCGAAGTTGAGGCCGAGTCTTTGGGCCGTAGGACAAGCCCAACCTGCAGGGCTGGTTATGGTACATGCGGGTCGGGGCGATAGCAAGCCCAACAAACCGAAGGCTTATGGGCTCGGGTTGGACCAGGGCTTCAGGGCTATAGGTTATGCAACCTAGGTCAAAGTGGTTGGTTTCCAATAGGGCATTAAGCCCAAAGGGCTATGTGCCTTGTCCAAGTGTCAATACGACACCGTTTCCCCACGCGGCTGGGCTTTAGGCCAACGCGATGGTTCGACATGGTGTCACAATGGTGCAGTGGTGTCGCAAAAAAAAAAAATCCTTGTTTTTTTTTTTTTTTTTCAAATTTTCTAGGTTTTGAAAAACCCAAATTGCTTCTAATTTATTTATATGCTTTGACTCACAAATTCCATATAGCAAAAATTGCATAATGCATGAAATGTGTGTGTGTGTGTGTGTATTGACAAATATATGAAACATATACTATATATATCGGAAAGTAAATATAAATGTAGGGGATTTGTGCATCATGGGGAATGTTTTCATGCTTCATGGTCTTTTCAAATTTCTTCCTTTATTTTAAAGTGAACCTAATTGGTAGAAAACGATAAAAGCCTTTGAATTTGTAGAAGATCCTTCTCGGAAAGCCGGAATCGCATCTTCAATGCGTTGTATCACGTTCAACAAAGAAAAATTAAATTGAATCAATAACATGTAGATCAATTCAATAAAATAATAAATTAATCATAAAAAGAATGATTAAAACGTAATACTTCCTTGATTGAAGATCAAACTCTCTTTAGTGTAGCGTTAAGAGCGTGCTAATAATATGTTGTAGGCATAATTTACTAAACAATTATGGAGGCTAGAAAGAGAGAGAGGGTGCGGCATAGAGAGAAGATAGAGATGTATAATTGTGAAGTGTGTTCTATTTCACCCCATTGTGCCTTTTTTATAGTAGTAGGGAATGTTAATTCCTTACCTTTTTAGGATTATAACTCTAATAGGTTATTAACTACTGAAGGGAATATTCAAAGATATTCCTAGATACACTAAAATTTATACAATCAAATTTCTAATCTAATAGAACTGCAACACTACGAAGGACGTAAAGGACAAATGGCTACAAAATATCCACTTTAATTTGTGGTTCAAAATTCAGTGAAGTACAAACAAACCTTACCCACGACCGATGAAACGAATCAAAATAGCGATATCTTAATCTGAAACCAAAAAGACAAATAAGAGTAAGATTTGTTGTGGTGTGTTTCTGATTGCTAGATGCAAACCCTCATTGCCACGGGCTCTTGCTTTCTTTGCAAGTTCCCTAACAACAATGCCAATTGGAAGCATCTTTTACCGAGTGCTCGTAGGCCTTCCTGCAACCTTAGAAATCAAAGCACAACAAGAAACAGCAGCCTCAGAACCACTTGGCCTTCCATCTCGTTCGCACTTTTCGCTTCGGGTTTCTTCCTCGGTCCGTTGATTGATGGACTCCATTCAAGGGTTGATCTTGTGGTTTATGAAAACGGTTCAACCAATATCGGTCCTCTGCACACAAACGTCTGGGTAAACTCCATAGTTTCTCGTTAAAGTTTTGTTTTTCTCTTTCAAAAATTAGATATAATGGTTTACAAAAAAGCATTAGAGATAATGCAGATTTATACAGTTCTTGATTCAATTGAATGTAATGTTGTTAGGTTCCCGTCTTGCTCGGTCTGTTCTACTGCACTGTTGGGATGTTTCAACTAGTCTTGGATGAAAGGACCTCTTCAAAGGTTCAGCAAGTGAACCAAGAGAAAGCGTTTGCTTCTTTGTTGTAAGTATACGATTACTTTGTGCACGTGTCAAATTGTGATTTGCAGGTAAGGAGTATTCTTGCAAATATGTAGTTGTTGCCTATAACAAAGGGCATTGCCGTTCAACGCAGATCACTTGTGCTGTTTATAGAGTTGAGCGCTGAACTGTACAAAGCAGGAATCGCAGACAACACTGAAGCCTACATATTATTTGCAGGAGCTGAGTTTCTATGGTTTTTCCTTGACAGAACATGGTTCGGCTTCCTCCTCGCAAGTGTCATCGGCCTTGGCTGCCCGGTGGCCGAGATTCCGTTAATGCAGTAAGGCTTCCTTCTTTCTTCTCTCCATCTCTAGGTATTATTCAGAAAACTGAAATGTTTGACGCTCCCATTCAGGTTCTTCCACCTCTGGTATTATCCACAAGCAAATGTTGAGATCTTCGGCCAGGTGGGTATTTGAAAACCAATCAATATTTATTAACCCTATATTTTTTTCCCCCTGATATATTTCAGCCGTTGTTTGCAGGGACTAGTGAGTTGGACACTCACTTGCTATTTTGTTTACACGCTGTTTTTGATCAATTTCTCACGTTGGCTGAAATCAGTGATCGTTGATGCTGCCGATACGGAGGACAAGTCCTCTTAATCGTACTCACTGTCACCAGTCTCAGCCCAGTTTGATAACTAACTCGGAAAAATGTCGGAGAATGTATTTGAAATAACTAGATTTACATTTCGCATAGGGTTGAAAATACGACGTGCAAATAATCATTTGAAATCCATTTGTTTTCGTCCGTTCGATCTCATCTGGATCTTTGACATACATAGATTGTCTTGGTGTATTTAGTGAATGTTTTCTTTCATTTTTCTACTTTGTTCTTCAATTTTCTACTGAACAGCAAAAGTTAATAGAATTTCTCCTCGGAAGTGTTTACGGCTTACAAGAACAAAGTTGGAATTCATCAAGCATCAATGGTTAATTACACCAACTTCATTGTACAAGCAACGATAACAAATCACTTGTTCAACTACATACACAAATTGGAAGTTGATGGAGAAAGCAGCTAACCGTTTGGAATTAGAGTCGTCGTATGCAATATACATCGTAAGGCATGTATACGGAAGCACAAAGCTATCCAGTGAACACAACATTGCCGATATCTGGGAACTTCTCCTTAATTGCTGCTTTGATTCCTGATCCGATGGACTCGGGCCCCACATAATTAACATGGCAATCCCCACCTTCAACCGATAACACTTCCACACTCCCGCCAAAGTTCTTTATGGCTGGTCTCAATATGTCCAGATGACGATTCACTGCCTGCATTTGCAACTTTAACACAGCATCAAACACTATAGGCCTTCTTGGCAGTTCTAAACCTCTTTCAGATAATCAAAAACGCTTTTGACACCATTTGGCCGAAAACATTAAAAGTGGATCTGGATTTATAAAAACGCTTACTAGTATTAGCTTTTTTTCTTTCACGGAAATTACTCAAATAAAGTATAATTTCTTACTCAAATAAAGTATAATCTCTTAACATTTTCTCTTATTCGAGATGGCAAAGTTAAAATAGAAACATCTAACTGATGATTTTTATCCTGGACCTGCACATCTAGTAGCAAGTGTCCAATTGGCCCCTTATGTTATTTTCGGCAATAAAAGCAGAGGCATAATAGGTTAGTATGGCCTTAATGCAGGCAAGTGAACACTTTTGTTTAGTGATTTTGAACCTTCATGCATAATCTGGAATTTCGAAGGGGAAGCCTTTCTAACATTCACCATGTCACTGGTGCAGTTTTTCGGACATCTTCCCGAACATGAGTTGTGTTTTGAGGGATCATGATAAGTGGGGGGGTTAGCCAATAGGTAGTATGTCTTGATAAGGTGGGATTGCAGGACTAGAGTTTTTTATTTATGATGAGGTGGGATTATACCGACCTGACGACGATTTTCAGTGAGTGAGTAATGGACAAGGCCATAACAACCCCAATCATCGAGAACACCAATACCACAACTTGTAAATTGCTTCCCTTCATCTCCATAGCTAGCTCTAATCTCAGACTCACAGTCCCTCGCTCTCAATGCCTTTAAAGTCCGCCACTTCACTAAACAATTCTAGAAAAGCACTTGCATTTTGACTAAAAGTTTCAACGTGGTCTCTATTATAAGTCCTTCCTAAGGAAGCACTTTCAATTTTCAAACATACGGCCTAACAAATTAAGAGTACGCAATCCATTTAATCTGAGTACGAAACACTGACCTCAACGGTGATCTCTTTATTTTCTTCATCAAAGACTTGTTGAATGTCCTTGAGCGCATCTCCAAACTTCTCCTTGAGCACTCTTTCGATTCCCATCTTCATGGTGGTCGTTGAGCTCGGACAGCTACCACATGCCCCTGTTCATTCTTTAATTTTATCAGTTCATGCAAATTTAATGTATTTTCAATTACCTATGTTTTTCCCAATTGTTATATTTTCCCAAAACAAATCATAGGAAAAAACAGGCTTGAATCAAACCCACCTTGCAGCTTGAGTGAAACAACGCCGTCTTCGACGGAGACAACATCGACGTTACCGCCATCGGCGATGAGATAGGGGCGGACGTCCTCTAGAACCAAGTCGACGTTGGGAACCGTGAGTTGGTACTGCTTGGCGGAGTAGAATCCCGGAGAAGAAGACTTGGCGGCAGCGCTTGGGTTTGAAGCTCTAATAGCGGTTTTGAGAAAGATCGGCCTTTGAGAGGTGAGACGGTGCAGTTTCAGACATGTAAATTGTGGGTATCGGTGGGATTTACCTGGGATTTTGGAAGAAGGCGTTGGGGTTTTGGGAAACCCGGTGGCCGCAAGAGACGCCATGATTGAACAGAGCAAGGCCGTGCATGTCTGTTTCTACGTTTCTGGTAGATCGGGATGGGTTCAATTTATGATTTCGACAAGTTTTTGGGAAGTTTGAGTGAGTTTTACAAAAATATGGTCTGTTTTAATTAAGTAAAAGTATCTAGTTAATTGATTAGTAACGACACAAACAGAGGTGATTGCTAGCGATAGTTTTAGCAGTCCTCTGGTTGTCGCCATTGCTTAGCGAGCCATTTAGTTGAGGTGAGCCTCTCGTAATCATATTTAACTTAGTTTTTACAGATAACAAACACAGAATTACATTAACATTTAATTTAGTTCTAGTAAAACCTAATGATGATAAACAAATGCACCCTTAATTAATAACCCTCCCCCCCCCCCCGGGCAAAGAGGGAGGGGAGGGGCATTTAGTTGAGACGAGTCTCTCGTAACCCTATTTAGTCTCTGCAGATAACAAACACAACGTTGACATGTAGTTCAGTCTAGTAAAACCTAGTGATGACAAAAAAATGCACCACATTAATACATTACGATTTAATTAGGTTAAAGGCAACTGCTACTTGAATACTTCCCTGTTAAAAAGCGGGCATTGATTTTGATTTCCCCGTTATTCAACAAAGAATGCATATTACGCATAAGTGCATATGAAACTGCTCACTTTACATACATGCTACAAACATACTGCAATTGAAACTCGGAGTCATACCTGCAATGAGAAAAACTTAGGAGACTCCACTCATCTGCGACTTTTAACCATAATCGCGTATGAAACTTCCGGAGCTATGAAACTCGAGTCAGATTGATAAATGCGAAAACCTTGGGAGATTCTGCTACATCAGTAACTAAACAACTCAAACCCAACCAATACCAATTAGAAAGTATTTACACGAGATAAAATTTAACTTCGAATTACTTTCCTGTCAAAATTCCAAGTTACAAGACTCATTTCTCATGTTCAAACAAAATTCACAGCTACGTTACAAAGGAGAATAGCATCTCATGAGATAGCTTCCTGCCATGTCGATATCCCCCCGATTCACAAACATATTTCATCACCTATAATACGATGCCATAATGTAGAGCATGAACGCGGTTGATGAAGTGATTATCAATTCCTACACGAACAGAGATATTATTTTCACAATGGCAACGACTAAGTATTACACAATCTGTCAGGCAGAACATGGACCACTGAGTTAATTACTTTACTCGCCAACATTTCACATCGTTTGTCTACAGAAGTGCTTAATTGCTGAAATAATGCTCAAAACTATATAGACGTAACAAACTAGCTTTTACATATAAATACTCAAATACTAATCAATAGACTATAAAAAAGAGATCTTTAGGAAGGTCGTTGATCAATATAAAAAGTATGGATAATCCCGTGCTTCATCGTAATTTCCCCAAAAAAAGGGCCACCCTTGCCCATTGAGTGCTCTACCTCAGGCCATCGACATCATATTTACCCTGTGACCTTGTCAACTCTAGTTCCGTGTGCTTGTGAAACGTGTTTTAACAAAATAAGTATAACTTTACCCCAATTTAATTTAAAATCTCACTCCGAAAGGATGTTTAAAGCTTCGAAAAATCTGATAACTTACTAGAAGTCAACAATTTGACTTCGGATTTTGGGGGAATTGATGAAAAAAAACACATACGAATTTCTCTCTGAGTCCTGACCAAAATTGCAATGGCTAGAATTACATTCTTTTAGTGTAGAACAAAGTTTCAAATAAAAGCAAAGATATTACCAGCCAATACCTGGTTATTGTAAAGAGCAGCAGGAATGTAGCTACCCATATACTCGATCAAATTCAGTACACAAGTGTATCCCTGCAAGAAGTGAACCGAGACTTTCGTGGAATGAACATAAAGGAGTGGAACTAAATTATAAGATAACCAGATATAGAAATCAGAATTAAAATAGACAATCAGAACAGAACTGAAATCCCCCCACTTATACCCCCTCCCTGTCAAACACTAGTGCACCAAGAATTCAAGCAACATAATATACCACAGAAGCAATCGCAATACAGCCAAACACTAGTGCAAGTGAACGGAGCAGTCGTTTTCCCATTCGCAGTCCCCTCCCTGCATCCTCACCATCTTCCTGCATCAATAGAATAATTAGGTCGAAAAAGCAGCTTATCATAAGTTTCTACATACAGTTTCAAAAAGTAAAAATGAGGACATGCAATCTATTGAGCAACATGACTCACTGTATATGTTGGAGATACAGGCGGTTCAAAGGATTTCAACTTCTCAAAAATCCGATAAACAAAAGCAAAAGTTAAAAATTGCAAGGGTTTATATTCAGCATTCCGCTTGATAAGAAGCCAAGCTACCTGCAAATAGATGGGGAAAAGGTAAGGGTAAGAAAAACTCACATAGAATAAAGCAAAATAACGAAAAGAACCCATGAGGGTTAAGTTATGAAATATATAAGTTGGGCTAGCTAATTGCCAAGCATCCTTCAAGAGTTGTTCCATAGTCAACATCATGCACCAAAGAATATTTTCCAAAACGATAAAGAATATAGAATCATATATAATCGATCATTCCCTAGAACTTACAAATACAGCAGATATTGCCAGGTTGATGCGCATATCTTGTACTGTAGACTTGGTGAACCTGTAAGCAAATAGAAGTCAAAAGATTAGAGCATAAAGTGCCACCACCTAGACTACACATATCCTCTGAAAATACCCAACATATCAAACGTGGAGGAAAGAAACGAGAGCTGGTTTCAGGTTTTAATTGATAAACCGCATGCACTATCACGTTTCCAAATAATTCCAAATCAGAATGAAAAAAAAAAAAATATTTATGAATATTTGTATCATTTTCCATATTGAGGGCTCATAAGAAGTTCATGTTTTTAAGCATGCAATTTATTAAATGAAGCAAAGAGTAAAATCTGCAATGCTAAAGTACCAGCCTCTAGCGAAGTAGGCATGGGTAAGCAATAATTTTTCCACAACTATTAAGGTAATCCAACCTACTCATATTCTTCATATAAAAATATCACATGCTTTAAAAAGTATCAAAATCAGCAGCCACTAATATACATCTTCTCAGCAGCACTATTTTCCTATGCTACTTATCAGTAGTAGTCACATGATGCGTAGACAAACCTAGGCCCCCATGGTACAATTGGTTGCTTATCAGCATATTTGATGTCCTTTGAAACCTGCAAGTCAAAAAAAGAAAAAAAAAAAAGAAAAAAAAGAGGAATAGTACAATGAGGTAAAAAGAAAGGATGATAATCAGCTTTTTTGACAGGTTACGGCAGATAACTAATCAATCTGAAATTCCAATTATCACAAAGACAAAATCTAGAAGTATGTAAAAACAACTTTAAGGGCCATTTACACAAAGCACCCAAATTGGAACATATTCAAATGTGCTAATTTACACAACAGGTGATACCTGAAAGAAGCAAAAAATATGAGTTCTTATAGCAGTTTTCAATGAAAAATTCGTAGACTAGATTCTTGACTGTTGTACTATGACATGACAAATATTCATTCCTAACTTTGATCTTACGAGTAACAACTAACAATGATGATATCAATCAATTCTATCTAAACCCAAATCAGATTAAGAGGTATACAGTACATGCTTCCGCAAATTATAAAGATGCCCATGTTTCTTTCCATTCCACTACTTTAATTATCTCTAAAACAATATTTGTGCTTGGTATTTGGCATCTCTTCAAGATTCAGGTTCCTCGTTATTCCTATATGCAGCTCCCTTAAAAAGTGTTATCCCTGGAAGCATAACACATCCAGAGTAAATCCTCCATAGATTCTCCAAGTTGTTAGACAAGTTGTTACAAGTTGGTAGTTATTCCTCCATAGTACTGTATAAAGCTTATACACCACAACGCTATAGAATACGACAACAATTAGAATAATTCATGCATAAAAAAAACCACATGACATCATTTTTCAACTTCCACTTTCTTTCTCTTTTGACGAATAAAGTCCACCCAGCAGACTCTTATAAGAACAATATATAAAAGTATCACTTGCATGTACCTTGAAGGAACCAAAGGTTACACCTTTCTTCCTATTAGTTAGCTGTGCCATCATGACTTTGTCATATGCTTTCTCCAGCTACATAAATGATTACGTAGTTATAAGAATATTGTTCACAAGCTCGTTTCAACCAAATATTTAAAAGAGCACAAAGAGAGTTTTGAAGCGTACTCTAGCAGCAGTTGCTTCATCACCGCTCCTCACGGCCTCCTTGTGTTTTTTTGTATACGCTGCCTTGATCATGTCAAATCCCTCAATTGGGCTCACACCGAGAACCTGTGAGATAAACGAGAATTAGTAAATTACAAATAAACAGAGAAGTAGAAACAAGTACCCAACTATTCAGTCAGCCACTTGCTGCAACATTAATTTCAAAGGTCCATAATTTACAAGCTGAAATTACCTCATATGGATTCAAATCACCGTCCGGATTAGAACTTCCCGCCGCAGACGCAGCCGCACAAATTACCCTTGTATTCTGTGGAATTGTTCTAGAAACATGATAAGTTTAACACCCTGTTGCTATATCTATACATTTTCAAGCATAAATAATTATAACAATATTTGCAAAACAAAACAAAAAAATACAAAGACCCAGCATTCGTATCACGAACACGAAACTTTCCACAGAACAAAACCCTATTCTCAATTTTCTCGCCAACCAAACAGAGTGAGTGAATTACCTGACGAAAGAGGGTAGCAGCCTCAACTCCGGGACATTAGGGCGGAAATTCCTTTGGGAAAATTGCAATTTGGGGTAGAGAAAAGCATGGGAAATCGCCAGAGCCATTTGCCCTGTGGAAACTGAGTTTTGGTTTGAATTTTCAGGTTCGGGGTTTTTCGAGCAGAACAAGCAGAGGGGGAAGCAAAGGGATTAGTACAATACAGGCCAGCTGATAACTACGCAAATACATAAGGAATACACGTAGTAATACTTGGGCCTAAAGAAACTAGTACATCCACTAATATAATAAGTGGGCTTTCCACTTATTTGCTAGATTGTAATCACGGCCATCAGAAATTCTCTACGCGGATACCCGCTGTTGTTGTGCGAATGGGTTGTGAATGACTCGTATTAATAATATATTAACCACGTATTTTTACTATCTTAATATATATTGATAATATAAGAATATTACATTAATATAGTGGAATATGTTGTCGATGTGCACGCATGCCCAAACCATGTGTTCTAATTGGCTTTTTTTTTTTTCTGTATATAGACTTCATTTTTAGCTTTTATTACAAGGGGTTTTAACGAAAAATTCACAGTACTGTTCATTTTAACGAAAAATCATATTTTTACACTAAAATGTCAAACCTGGTACTATTCATTTTACCCCTTATTTTGTCCTTATTGTTAAAACTTAAAGTTTTCAAGCCCTTTTCATTAGTTTTCCTTTTATTATATTGACTTAGCCCTAGTTTGGTAATGAGGTGATTTTGAAAAAAGTGGCTATCAAAAAAAAGTTGGGAGCTTTTTTATGTTTGGTAAATATTCAGCTTCAGCTTTTTTTCACAATTTTTGGTGAAAAAAAAGCCAAAAACACAAAGCTGCAAAACCCAACTTTGAAAAACAAGTTTTTTTTCACATCTGTTTTACATAAAAGTTTATCAAACATTATAATACTGCTTTTTTTTTTTCAAAAGCACTTTTACAAAAAAGTTTACCAAATACTCTGCTACTTTATTTCACAGCTGCTTATTTTCACAGCACAGCAGAAACAATTTTTTTTCAAAGCACAACAATATCAAACCAACCCTTAATGTTATGCCACATATTTATTTTTTAGACCACATACGCATTTTTGACAGCTTTTAAACATAATTAATACAAAAAAGATAATGTTGAGTGAATTTTGAGTTTCAAAAAATAAAGTTGTGAATTTAGAGTTTTAGAGAGTAATCTTCACAGTCCCAGTCCTCAGTCGAAAACAAACACACAATAGGCATGTGAATGCCCGGAACCAAGTAGTAACAACAAAGGTCATGTGGTGTAAACACCTATTCAAAGAGATCTAGACCTTGGTAGGGTGAAAACATATAGTTGTCTTCGATTGGAGGGAAGCACAAATAAAGCAGCAAACTAGTGTTGAGATAAGATCCACCAAATGTAGAGTGGATGGCTGTGACGGGTGTGAGTGGTTGGTGTTAAGGACTGTAGTAATAAAGATTCAGTTTGTAATAAACCCTAGAAATAGGTAATGTGTGCTGTGCATGGCTGTAATAATTAGTTGAGAGTATTATGACAGGTAGCAAGTTAGTTAGAAGAATATAGTTATGTGTGAGTAATAAAAGGATGTATATAAGTAACACAATTGTAATCTATTTCTGTAAGAAATGAAAATCAGTTTCACAACATGGTATCCAGAGCCTTCTGTCTAACGACTTCATCCTGATTCCCGCTCCCTCTCCTTTTTTTTCGCTGAGATTTCTTCCTCCCTAAGCTTTCCTCTTTCTCTTTGAGCTTCTTCGCTAAGCTTTCTTCATCTTTCTTCCATTGCGACCTCGGCTTCTCCCTCTTCTGAAACGGCAACACCGGTCAATCCTCCAATTTCTGATCCTAGCTCAGGAACAAGCTCTACGCCTTCAATTACAATTCAGAATATCGGATCTATGGTGCCGATCAAGCTAACCACCACCAACTATCTCACTTGGAGTGCGCTCTTTGCTCCGATCTTCCGTCGCTACAACCTCACCGGAATTCTTGATGGATCTGTGCCTCCTCCATCACAGTTCCTCTCCGATGCTGCTGGACATTCGGTTCTCAATCCGGCATATGTTTCTTGGTTTGAAAACGATCAGAACATCCTCATCTGGATCAATTCCACCCTATCTGAATCGATCATTCCCTACACTGTTGGAGTTACGAACTCCAGAGAACTTTGGGCTAAGTTGGAGTCAAGACTCGCTGCAGCTTCTCAATCGCACATCCATGAGCTTCGATCACGTCTTCGTTGCCTCTCGAAAGGCGATTCCACCGCTGCTCAGTATCTTCAACAAATTGAAGCGATCGCAGATGCGCTTGCTAGTGCCGGAGCTCTGGTTGAAGATTCTGAGCTCATTTCTGTTACACTCCATGGATTACCACCAGATTATGACTCATTCGTTGATGCGATCCAGTTTCGGCTTGGCTCCACTACAATTGATGAATTGCACGGTCTTCTTCTCAGTAAGGAGATACAGTTAGCAAATCGGAAGAAAACTTCTCCTCCTGTGCAAATTCAGGCCTATAATTCCACTGCCGGAATTCTTCCTACTCCAACCTCTCAAGCCTTTGTTGCTCAAGGTCGTGGCGGTGATCCCCATTTCTCTCAAGGCCGACACTTCTCATCTTCAAAATATGGTCAAGGTCGAGGTAACTTCAGATCAAATAACTTTCGTCCAAATTATTCTCGTAATAACTCTCAGCGTTACACTCGTGGTGGTCGAAGCAATTTTACCTCGTCTGGCCGAAAGAATCCTTGTCAAATCTGTCGACAATTTGAGCATGATGCTCTCGCCTGCCCTCAGCGCATGAATCCACACTACTCCAGTGCTTCCCCTCCTTCTGCTATGGCTGCACATGCTCAGTCCTCTCAACCTAACTGGCTTATTGATTCTGGCGCCAGTACTCATATGACAAATTCCTACACCAATCTCCAGAACCCTGCGCCCTACTCCGGTCCTGAGCAGGTCTACATTGGAGACGGCAAAGGTTTGCCTATTCTCCATTCTGGTTCCTCTACATTACGTACTCCTAATCATCACTTTCAGCTTCGAAATGTGTTGCATATACCTGATTTGAAACAACATCTACTTTCTGCAAATCAGTTTCTTGTTGACAATTGGTGTTCTATGCATCTTTATCCTTTTCACTTCATTGTGAAGGATATTTCTTCGGGGAGGATGCTCTTTAAAGGTCCTGTAAAAGATGGCTTTTATTCATTGCAATCCCAACCTTCCAGTTCAGCACTCAACTCTCACAATGTGTTTGCTGCATCAACTCATGCTTCTCGGACTCTATGGCACCATAGGCTTGGCCATCCTTCACTAAAGACACTAAATAAGTTGGCTGCCAAATCTTGTATTTCTGTATCTAGTGGTTCAACTAATTCCTTTTGTAATGGTTGTGCTTTAAGTAAGAACTCTAGATTACCATTTACCTCTGTACCGTGCCACACAAGTAAGCCATTAGAACTCCTTCATACAGATGTTTGGGGGCCAGTGTCTACTACTTCTTTTACTCAACACAGATATTATGTCATCTTCGTCGATGATTTTACTAAATACTGTTGGCTCTATCATTTGCAATGCAAATCAGATGTGTTTTCTACCTTTGTCAAGTTCAAAACTCTTGTTGAGACCTTGCTGCACACTAAAATTGTTGCTCTCAGATCAGACTCTGGTGGGGAGTATCTTAGCACTGCATTCTCCAATTTTCTAGTCACACATGGTATTCATCATCAGCTTAGCTGCCCTCACACTCCCCAACAAAATGGTTGTGCTGAGCGTAAGCACATACACATCGTTGAAACTGCTCGGACATTATTAACTGTCTCCCAGGTCCCTCATGGTTATTGGGATCATGCCTTTTCCACTGCTGTGTATCTCATAAACAGGTTGCCAACTGCCTCTAGACCATCTCCGTTGGAACGTTTGTTTCGAAAAGCACCAACTTATACTACGCTCAAGGTTTTTGGGTGCAGTTGCTTCCCATGGTTGCAACCTTATTCTTCTTCTAAGATGGATCCCAAAAGCAAGCAGTGTGTGTTTCTTGGCTACAGTCTCAATCATCGAGGTTACAAATGTCTCGATCCTACCACCAACAAGTTGTATATTTTCCAGAAGTGTTATCTTTGATGAGGATAGCTTCCCTTTTCACAACCTTGCTGCCTCTCCGTGTTCCCCTCTATCCACAACTTCCCTATCTTCCAGCACCATACCTACTCACCTTACCTTCACTCAACCCATCATCAATCCTTCCCTTCCACAAACATGGCCATCTTCACCTCCTTCTAACCCATCTCCACCATTTCCTGTCTCTTCTCCATCGTCCTTATCTTCTCATCCATCATGTGTAGTCCCAACTAATACTCATCCCATGCAGACCCGGGCCAAATCCGGTATTCACAAACCAAGAGCATTTTCTGCCACTAAACACCCTCTCCCTTCACATCTTTCTCTTGACTTTGTCCCTACCACCTATCTTCAGGCTTCCAAATATCCTCATTGGATTCAAGCCATGCAGGACGAGTTTACTGCTTTACAACAAACTGGCACTTGGTCCCTCATTCCTCCAACCGGCCACCAAAACATCGTGGGGTGTAAGTGGGTTTTAAGAATCAAACGAAAACCTGATGGTACCATTGATAGATACAAGGCTCGACTAGTCGCTAAAGGATTTCATCAACAGGAAGGACTGGACTATACTGAGACTTTTAGTCTCGTAGCCAAGCCTGTGACTATTCGCATCCTACTCACCATTGCTGCTTAGTTCAACTGGCCTCTCAATCAACTTGATGTCAGCAATGCATTCCTCCATGGCACCTTATCCGAATCTGTGTATATGCAACAACCTCCTGGTTTTTAGGACATTACTCATCCCAATCACGTGTGTCACCTGCACAAGTCCTTATACGGCCTTAAACAGGCCCCTCGCGCCTGGTATGAGAAACTCCATGCTGCTTTACGAACCCTTGGTTTTGCTGGCTCTCAATCCGACCATTCCCTGTTTGTCAAAAAGGATCCACTGGTCTTTGTGTTAGTCTACGTCGATGATATTATCGTCACTGGGCCATCCACCTCAGCCTGCCAACATGTTATATCTCAGCTCAGCTCCCTATTTCCCATCAAAGATCTTGGTACCCTTCACTACTTTCTGGGTATTGAGGTTCATCGAT